CTGCATTCATGGAAATGAAGAATGCAGGAATACTCAAAATTATTTTGATAGTTCTTTTCTGGCTAGGATTAATCCATATCCTTTCCTTTTAAATTACTCTATTTGTCAAAGTTAAGATGCGAAACAAAGGCATTAGAAGGATGAATTGCAATGTGGACATTATTTCACACATACTTTATTTTTGCAGACTGCAGGAACCACTTGTAAAGCATCTGTATGTCTCTTTCTGTGACAGATGTGACTTGCCCATAAAGGTGACCCCTTCCTTCCCTCAGTTGGTGTGATCCATGTCGTGCCAGTCCCTTTCCAGAGGCTGCTGTTCAGATTCCAGTGCTTCACTTTCTGCTCTGGTCCCGATACCCTGTGCTTCTCATTCTAATGCTGGAGTATTTGTTCAAGTCCATAGACTGTGTGTTTTTAATCTTCCTCAGAACAATGGTGAATAATGGCCCTTGGCAGGAGATAATGAAATTTTCTTAATTTATATTTTCAAGCAGAAGCTGCAATTGAAAATGGCATCCTATGGCCTGCAGACATGGCTCTAGTGCAAGTTTCAGGGGAGCTGTAATAATAATGCAGTGCCAGCAGTGACGAGGAACGATAGGACAGTGAAGAAGTAATTTAAGAAAGAAAAGAGAATGTACCAAAGCTTTATTGTAGCATATCTAATGATCTGCTGAAGATTCCCAATAGCTTTTGGAGCATGACAGGAGAAACTAATGTTATCTTGCCAAAACAGGAGCCCCTGCTTAATCAGCAGAACGAGATTATTGATTAAAACACCTCACACAATAGATTGCACATGGAATCTCATCTCCATACACTGCACGTGGAAAAGTGCAATAATAAACATAAGATAATAATAAAAAAAACCAGGCAAAAGCAATTTGTTGGGAATCGTACCGGTCGAGTTAGAGTTGAAATGCAAACAAGTTATCATGGAAAATACAGCTCTCCTTACTGCTGAGCAAGGAGGATGGATGCAGCAGGGACATGGCTACATCATGAGCAGAAGATACTTAGTACCAGCCCTGCTGGAGCTGCTTTCCTTTTTCTTTCTTTATTCATCTGAAATGTGAAGGGGCCATTCCTCATTTGCACAGTCTTCTTCCTGAGGTGAAAGGAGTTCAGACATTATACTGTAACTGTTAATTAAACACTCCATTTGATTTTTAGATTACTCTAAGTGATGCATCTGCATTATGAAGATGTAACCTTTTTTCATTCATACTAAAGTACAGAAGAAACGAGTGTCAGAGTCCACAATTGCTTCTTGCATTCATGAAAATAGTGGTAACTCGTACATTTCCCCTTGCAAAACTCTTTGTTGTTGCTAGCACAGGAACCTGAATTCTTTTGCTACTTCAGTTAGTATTTTCCTAACTAGGGTTTCAAATTTAATTCATATATTACCTTGCCTAAATCAACTGTTCTTGAGTTTATATAGAGTTCTTTGCAGATCTGCTTTATTTCCTCATAAATGACAAAGTCATTGTATCATAAATCTTTGTGAATATTGTGAATGTCTTAAGCACGAAGACATTTCTCAGTGTGAGATCATATGAATTTTAAGATTGTTCATAAAAACCTGAGAACGTGTGTATTTTTACCTATGCTGGGGAAAAGTATGATGTTATGTAGATTGCAGAACACTTAAATGCTATTTAAACCTGCAGAAAACTTAAACACCAGACACAAACTGAAACACCAAAGTATTTCTGATTTTGACATCTTAAATTTGCAGAAATCACAGCTGGTTTGTATCATGCCTTCATTGGAACAATTCTGAAAGAGCTTGAATAGATGGACCAAACTATCAGTATATTATGTAGAAAAAATAACTTTGGTTAAAATGAATGAGGGGCTTCAAGTTATTTGCCAGTTAAGGTTTTTGAGGTTTGGGTTTATTTTTTTTTTTCCTGATGGTGTCTAGGCTAATTCTGCAAATTGCCAGGAACTTTATTTCCACTATTGTCTCCTTTTTGGAGAATCCTGTGACAGAGAAGGTGTTTGCCCATTACAAAAAGGAATGAAGATGGGTCACCCCGTTGAGGGCTGTAAGGGGCAGTATCCTGTTCTTGGGGCACAATGTTTCTGAGTGCAAAGGTTTCACAAAGCTATGAAGTTCTGCTGTGGCAGGGCTGAGCAGCTTTGCTAATCTGTAGCCAGGTAGGATAAGGTGCTGTTTAGTGCTGCTTCTGGAGAGTGGAGGCTCTTTTGGCCAATATAGCACAGAATTCAGTGCTTCTTGTCTCAAAGGAGCTCAGCTGAAACCTTGGTCAGTTGGCAAAATGGCTTTTGCAGAGAGCAGCAGGACTGTAGGCCAGTGACTAACAGAGAAGTTCTGGTTTTACAGAGCAGAACAACGCAGCAGACAGAGGGCTTTCATTTATCCAGAGAATAACTCACAGCAGCGTAAATTCCCCGAGTTACTTGTCTCAGAACTACCTCTACAAAGCCCACTTTCTCTTCATGTCCTGTCTGTAAGCCATGAATTGGGATTGACAGCTGCTGTGGTTGCTCTTGGTTTGTCTTGAATGTCTCGCTCTGATAGAAATGTGACCACTAAACTATGTAACAGTGACCTGAATGCCGGCTTTTTAAAATGTGAATATCCTAATCAAATGTCTTTAACTTGAAATCTTAGAAGTGCTCGAAAATTAGAACCCTATGTGAAAATTACTCAGGTTTTGTAAAATGCAACCAGCAATACAGAAAAATCAGTGATTCGAATATGAAAAACTGCAACTTAAAGCAGAAATACTCTATTCAATTGGCTATTCAAGTGATTGCTGGTGTGTGTGGTAGCAATGCTGTGTCCTGCAGCAGTGGGCACAGCTCCTTGTTTTGGAATTGGGGTCTCCTTTGGCCAAAGGTGAGCTAAAGGTCACTATATGCACAGCAGGTGAAATCCTCTATAAAGAAATAGTCAAAAGTTTTTAGAGTGTCAACAACTTCCTGTAAACACCACTCAGTGCCCGAAGTTTGACACTGACAGTTACTGTACATAAAAAAAAAAATCTGAATTTTCTTTTGAATAATTATTACACATCCTTTTGATAAAAGCTAGCATGAAGTTCTTCTCATTTTTCTGGCTGATGGCAACATTATGAGTCTTTCACTGGGGGAAAATGAAACAGAAGAAGACAACTTTTCACAGGGCAACAAGAGTTGTATGTATGAAGTATGACCTTCATTGGTTTTATTCTCAAGCAGTTCCTCCCAGCATACACTCATGGAAACCATCATACTGGATGATGCACTATGAGAAGCCTCCTTGTGGGAATTATTTTGGTCTCGGCATGAGGTTTTTCACTAAAGAAACACAAAGAAATTTAAAGAAATTTATTACAAAATCTTACATCTGAGGTTATGCTCATCAGTCTACCTGAGGTGTGGGGCATAAAAACCCTATATCAGGGATATTACAGAGAGGCCTGTGATTTTGGGGCCCTATTGCCTTCTCCATCTACACAGCACACGTGCAGGTGAACTCCTCACCATCTATCTCTGTCCGTGGTTGTGCGCATGTACACAAATCCCTGACTAGTTCCAGTTAGTTCTGCAATTGTGATTGAGCCTTATGCTGCTGGAAATAAGTAGCTTAAAATAAAGAAGAAAAAGGAAAAAGGAGAATTAGCTGATGGAGTCAGAAGAGTTGTTGTTCCCCGGTTCCCTCAGCAGAGGCACAGCATGTCCTGCCCAGCTCTGGACTGGTCTGATCACTATGTAAAAAGGAGTGATTTATATTAGAGTTCTTCAGATGTGCTTGCTCTACCTTTTATGAGGTAGCATGAACTGTTCCAATACCTGTTGGCACTGTGCAGCTGTGGAAAGCCATTGATCCAAGACAGATGATCTGAGCCTGGCTGTGGCATTCAGGCAGTGTGGGAAGTAGCCGTGCAGCAGAGAAGTTGATGTACAGCTGGAGTCAAAGGCTGCTCTATTACTTAAGTTCAGACTTCTGTTATTCAGTTTGCTGACAAACAGAACTAACCCCTGAGAAGATCAGCCAAGCTCTTTTTCTTTTAGTCACCAAACTCCCTGACCTTCTCCTTTTTTTCTTCACTTCCTTGTGACTGTTTTTTTGTATTACATTTTGACCATCTCTTCAGGGTTAGGTGATTGTTTTTTTCACCTTTAACTTCCAAGCTAATATTTGTTTGGTATTTTTTATTCTGGAAAAATTAATAGTAGTCTAAAATGTTGTTGTTGTTATTATTATTATTATTATTATTATTATTATAAAAACCTTCAAAAATGTTCAGTAGATCCACATGGTTAGAGGCATTGTAATAAAGTTCTTTTTTGTATCAGAATGCCTTTGCTTTCCTTGGTAAGGAAATCATTTATATGTTTCAGTACTTAGTCTCCTCTAAAATACATTTTAATTAATTTTCTTGCAGTTCTTCTTTTTAAGTATTTTTCTTATTTCCTCAGATGGTCAATCTTTACCTCTTCCTGTAGCCTAACAAGAGCCCACCAATTGCTCCTAAAATAATTTAAGTGAAAATGCTCATGTTCTTTGTCTACATTAACTATTCCAACCAAAATCATTTCCTTGAATCACAGTAAAAATCTCTCTGAAATGTAAAACCATTCAGCAGTATGTATGTCTCTAAAGATGGAAGGAATTATTCATTGGTGTTACTATACATTATTCAGAATTGCACATTTTTCAATTATGTAATCTTTACATTTTGTTTTCATTTTATTGAGCAGTAGTATCAAATCAGTATATACTTGATACAGCTGTGTCTACAGTGGGGACATTTAAGATAACACCGATCTCCAAATTTAGAAGTATAAAGCATGAACTAAAATATTGTCTTGAAGCCTTTTTTTGGACTTTGACTAATTAGTAGTAATTAACTTTGTTGTCTTATGGATTGGATTGCCCAAGTGTGAAGAGAGTTAGCACTGAATGTGGTACTTGAGTATGAACTTGCAAATTAAATGTAATTTTAAATTAATTAGCTTGCTTTCTTTTCCCATTACAGGTGCAACAACCGAACACAGTGTATAGTAGTTACTGGGTCAGATGTGTTTCCTGATCCTTGTCCTGGAACATACAAATATCTAGAAGTTCAGTATGAATGTGTTCCTTACAGTAAGTATAATCTTTTTATTCTTGCTCACTTCCTCTGGCCCTCACAATTGAAGCTGGAGTTCCACGGAAAAGCAGCATATGTTTGTGGCCCACGGAGCCATTATGCATGCAAAGCACTCGCAGGCTAGGGCTCCAATTAGCTTCACAAAGTGTGGAAGGAAGCCATGGTGTGATGCTGGCCAAGTGTCTGTCTGTGTTCTTAAGTGTTTGGCTTTTAAGGCTACTGTTTTTCCAGAAAACAAACTCAAATTAGCTATTCAATAGGCCAGATAGAAATTTGTACTTTTGCCCGCTACCAGTTGCTGACAAATTGGCTTGGCTCACAGACTTGTAAAGCAGGAATTGACTTCAATTTTAATCATGATCTACTTGAAAGGCTACCTGCTGCTGTGGTGACTCTGGGTGCACAGCAAACCCAGCACTGACACTCAAGAGGCAAATGACCCAGTTGGGGGACATTGTAGGAGGACCTTGTGCTTCCTCGTAAATGAACGCGGATTCAGAGTGAATAATTCAGTAATGAGTTACTCAAACTGGGTTCTTAAAAGCAGAGGGGAAAAGAGTGAGAAAGAAATGTTCAGTTTTAATTTAAAGACAAAATAGGAATTGTGCCTTAAATCAGCTGCCAGAACAGGATTTTTCACTGAAAACAAAGTAAATACTGAAGTCATACTGAGATAGAAAAATGTGATATTATGGCTACTTCAGCAGTTTTGTACAGTATTCTTTCTAATGCCAAAGTGCTGTAGCTGTAGACATACTTCTTATTTCCTTGCAGTAATTAATGCTTTTTTTTCATTGATATGTATGCATGTTCATAAAAGTTCTGCAGATTGGACACTTTTAACTGGTTTTGCTTTCTTGTAAGGTCATTCTTTGCAGTGACTTCTCCCTCGTCCCGTAACTCCACAGAGAAGTAGCTGTGCTTGCAATGGAATTTGAGCAATGCCCCGATCGTTCCCTTGAGTTATTATTAAGTGTGTATTTCTTGATCTGCAGTAATCCTTAACCAAAGTCACATTTTCTGTTGGTACAGGAAACAGGCCAAGTCTGAGATGCAAAAACTCTGTGGTGACAGTATATATCCAAAAAGGAAGGAAATGAGTTCTGGCATAGGCAAAGCCATGTCAAAACTCTCCGTACTGTTTCCTGCACAAGTTTAAGATTTAGTCTTCTGAAACTGAAATACTGCTCTGTACTGCTTCACCACACTGAACCTGCACTGTTGCTAAAGGCCAAACACAGATCATCTGTTTTTTCTTCATTCCTGCTGTGTCATTGTGAAATGGTTGCTTGCTGATTTTTTTCCCTGTACCATTTGTAGGACTGGAAGCCTACAGCAGACAGTGATCCCTAGTACCATTCCTCCTGTGTGTAGTATCGGTGGCTTGTTGTAACTGTTCTTCTCGTGCCACTTTTGAGGAGTGATGTCTTACCCCAATCTAACCACAGTTTTGTTCCACAAAGACCACTTCTGCTTTGGCGCTATTTTCGTTCCCAAATTCTCAGAAAGAGGGCAGTGCATCTGAGTCCAAACCGTGAGGTCAGACAGATGACAAGGAGTTACGTTTCCAGTTCCGGTAGGCTAGCTCGTAGAGAAAAAGTGTCATGCAAATAATGTTCAAACGTGATTTTTTATGCTGTTTTAGGAAGAGAAGTGTGGATATGTTCTACCGATTGGGTATTGCTACCTACAGGAACCTTTTCTTTTCCAGTTTCAGAAGTACAGTGCCACAGCGCCGCCTGCCCTGTACTCTGACTTGTAGTGACTCTAACTTTAAAATGTTTATTTTTGTTTACTGTCAACTGTATTGGCCTGCCCTTTGAGCTATGTAATTCTGTGTCTATCATAACTCAGGATTCTGGATGCTTCTTGTCTTTCAAAGTCTCTGAGTTTTGGAGTTTGTCAACTGCAGCATGTACAGTGATGACACTACCCAATTCCAGAACTGTAAGAGGCATCACCTATCATTGCCACTAGTCATCAAAAAGATTACCAGAGACCAAAATCAGTTTTGAAATCTGATTTCAAACCACATTGTGCTTCAGTAGCCATTTTGGTTGTTGACCATCTTTCTTCCCTGTCCCAAAAAGCTTATCCTGTTATTTTTCAAGTCTCTTTTTTTGATGCCTGATAAACTCCAGTTATCAAATCTAAATTTTTATTCCTTACTTGTTCCAGTGCTCCATATCTAAATGTACAGAATGACTGAAATCATTAAGTTTGCAAATAGCAGCTGTCTCAGCTTAAGAGACTTGTTAGGAGGGCAGGATAGGCTTTTGTGGGCCTGGGAAGGGAGGAGTTTAGTGATCACAGCACTTCTAGCCAAAGTTCTGTTATGGTTCTTACTTTTTCTGAAAGTTACTTCAGTTACTGCAAGACTGTGAAATTTGCTGTGTCTCATTGTGGTGGCTTTCAGTCCATGAGGGATGACAAATGTCAATCATAAAAGGTTTTGTGGTGAAAGGTGGGAGTTCTTACACACTGGAGTTGCTGTCACCCTTGTACAAAATGCAGTTTATGAGCTCCTCTATGTGTTGCTGGCCTTCAGAAACACATAGCTGCATTGCTTTATTTGAAAGTACTTAATTTGATGAACTTAATTAAGTTTGAAAGTACTTAATGAAAAGCTTCCTGTTTTGCATCTCAAAGTGTAGACAAAAAACCCCCAACTTTTGAGATACTCAGTTGGATCTCCACCAAAATGCCAGGCAAATTTGATAGGCATTGTTTTGTCCTGAAATAAGAGTATTATTGATTAAATTACAAAGAAATTGAGAGTAGTATACTTGACATTTCTCTCACTTATGCTGCACAATATATGTTGACACTTTGACTAACAGAAGTCAGTCCTTTTATAAGGGAGAACATCAAAAGTGCCATTTTGTACATCTGTGCATTTTTATTTTAAGCCTGTTTGGACTCGGGAGTTCAATAGAAAACATTTTAAAGTGTTTTATTCTCTCTCTCTGTGTATTGATTGGACTTTGCAGCATTTGTTTATTCCAATAAGCCCATCTGTCCCTGACAAATGTACAGCTGTACCCCAGTGCATGCAGAGCAGACATACCAATAATGATTTGAGTTATCCCTAGCTTTTTCCCCCTCTCCTATTAATAATTCTAAGCAGGTACAGTATCAATATTGCTCTTTGGTGAGGAATAAGCACATGCATAGAAGTTCACAAACAGAATCATGCAGAAATCATTAATACTAATGGTGAAGCCCAGGAATTCACTTCAGAGTACATCTTCTGTTTACCTGGATAACTGCAAAAATTACAAATTGCAGAAAAACAAGTATTTTACCTAAAGATGTATAACTGTACAAAAAGCCAGGAAAACTACTGCTCATTTTGAAAATATTAAACCCCTTCAGCTCCCCCGTAAAGTTATGGAATTGTTTCCTGAAGAAGCACTCTCAAAATAATGTTATGCAATTTCCTTAAATGAAACCGAAATCCCAGACTCTCTGTGCAGCATGCAAAGGCATTCTTCAGGATAATGCTGTAATACTGAAAATGGAAGAGCTGTGCAAATAGTTCTGATACACTTCCTTGGTATCAGCAGCTGCTGTTACACGGATTGGTACATCTGTCATTTCCCAGGTCATTTTATGAAACCAAGGGAGCACACTTCAGAGGCCACAGAGTATATGAAATAGGTTTTATTGCAAATAATTATTGAAAAGCTATTTACTAGCTGGGCTTCAGCTATATATCTTTCTGTAACTTCCTTAAAACTTCCTGGGGGAAAAATTGCTGTAGTAATATAACTTTGTTAATTGGGTTGGGTTTATGTCTTCCGTGTCTGGTGGCAGGATGGATGTTTGTTTAAACACAGTATGGCTGTCCTTGCATACTAGCTTGCTGTTTTGGGCTTAATCGATGATGCTGGAGAATACCTGAATGAGCTAATAAATTGTTAATTTTTTTCTTCTCTTTTCCTCTTGCTTACTATGCTTTTGCTTCTTTTTTCTAGATGTTTTTGCTTATTCCTTCTAGTCTGATTTTGCAGTTATAGACTAAGAAGTGGCAAAAGTTCTCAAGATTAACATTCAGGAAAACAAAATAAAGCCTAAGGAGGGCTAAAGTGTGCAAGCTGCTTTCTTTGCAAGAAAGAAAAGCAGAGGGATGTCTGGGACAAAGATGGGGGGAGTTTAATAAGCACATATGCAAACCTATGTAATTAATATACTGAATTTTGTATTTCTAATTATTTAATACGATATGTATATGTGCACTTGCACATATATGATAAATTAATATGTCACTTAAACCCCAGCTTGGTAGCATTATATTTTTAGAAGAAAAAGAGTGTGTATAGCATGCATTAGTAAAGTCATTCATTATTTATTCAGGTTCACTAAGTGAAACTACATGCCAACATATCTGTATTGCCTCCTTAATCTACTAGAATGATCGATCCATGTTCACTGGTGTAACCGTAGAATCTCTCTCCTGCTAGGTTATCCTGTTGTCTGTTTCTCTTTATCCAATATAGTGCAGTTCTTATTCTCCCTATATTTAGCGTCTGTAACTAATTTAATCTTTTAGATTAATAGTCGATTTACGTTAATCTTCTTTCTTTTTTCCTTGCACTTTTTTATTTTTCTTCCGATGCTTAAAATAGAAGTGGAGCAAAAAGGTAAATAACGTATACAGTCCAAACCCCAGCTCCTTGTTATGTGCCTTATGGATGTTAACCTCTTCCCTTCCCCTCCCCACAACACTCTTATATTATGATAATCAGCAGGATCTCATAAGTACACCTCATAAAGAAGTCGACTGTTTGCAATAAAGTGACTTGGCTGCTTAAAGTAGGTGGCGGGGTATAGTGTCTGAAGTACTTGGGCTGGAGGGAAGACTCCCTTGCTTTTTTCTCTCCCTTTCTCTTTGTCTTTCTTTCCCTCTCTTTCTCTCACCCTTGGGTAAATTCTTGTTAATCAAGTGTCATCTTGCCTGGCTTCCAGAACCCTCTCCATAGCATGCCATGGTTACAGGGTTTCCTGGTCTGTTTTCATTCATTGCTTTGGTTGTGTTTTGTTTTCTCGGCTCCTAATTGCTTTCTCTATATACCTGATGATTTGGTTTGTTCCTTTATTTTTAATCGAGGCCCCTCCTTTTTCAGCCTCACCACTTCTTAAAGTTCTAAACAAGTCGATGTGATTGTTTTTGGACTGAAATGACCTGCACACCAGTTAAAAGCTCTGGAGCGTTAATCCGCACTCACTAAAAGTCTGAAACAAAAATGCAAGAGTAGCTCTACATTTTCAGCTGTCTGTGTATGCCATTGAGCCTTGGTCTGTACTAGTGAAAGCAGTTCCCATCCACTTTCCATACTGGTACAGCAAGAACATGGTAACTTTAAGAAAAGTGGATGATAAAGGGTGATAATTGCATTAATTATAACATAAGGTGTAATCTAGTGCCAATTAAATGGATTTTTTTTTTCTTCCTGACACAGTCATTATGATTTACCTACCTTTTTTTTTTCTTTTTTTCTTTTTTTTGGATTTTCATTGTGAGACAGTCTTAATTTGACATAATTCTTGTCTTACTTCTCTCTGTGACTGTTAGTTTTTGTTTGCCCGGGGACGTTGAAAGCAATTGTGGACTCACCGTATTTATATGAAGCTGAACAAAAAGCAGGTGCTTGGTGCAAAGACCCTCTCCAGGCTGCAGATAAAATCTACTTCATGCCCTGGACTCCGTACCGCACCGACACTCTGATAGAATTCGCGTCTCTGGAGGACTTCCAGAACGGCCGCCAGCAGACGACGTACAAACTGCCGAACCGAGTGGATGGCACCGGCTTTGTGGTGTACGACGGCGCTGTCTTTTTCAACAAGGAAAGAACGAGGAACATAGTGAAGTTTGACTTGAGGACTAGAATTAAGAGTGGGGAGGCCATAATCAATTATGCTAATTACCACGACACGTCTCCGTACCGGTGGGGAGGAAAGACTGACATTGACTTGGCGGTGGATGAAAATGGCTTGTGGGTGATTTACGCCACGGAGCAGAACAACGGGATGATCGTGATCAGCCAGCTGAACCCCTACACCCTGCGCTTCGAGGCCACCTGGGAAACGACGTACGACAAGCGGGCGGCGTCCAACGCCTTCATGATCTGCGGGGTCCTGTACGTGGTGCGCTCGGTGTACCAGGACAACGAGAGCGAGACCGGCCGCAACGCCATCGACTACATCTACAACACCAGGCTGAGCAGGGGCGAGCACGTGGACATCCCCTTCCCCAACCAGTACCAGTACATCGCCGCGGTGGATTACAACCCCAGGGACAACCAGCTGTACGTGTGGAATAACAACTTCATCCTGAGATATTCTTTGGAGTTTGGCCCGCCCGATCCTGCCCAAGGTAAGGATTTCTTTTTTTTTTTTCTTCTCGTTTTTAATCTCTTTGTGTTTCCATTCTGAGAACTATGTTAAAATATTGTTGGTCTTAGACGTAGCTCTTGGCAGAAGGGCAAGGAGGGGTTGCTTGGACCATGCTGAGCAGTGCAGCATTACAGTGGTGCAAGACAAATTTGCAGAACCTGTGAAGAGAAATGGAATTACTTTATTTGGTTTACAGGCTCGTGCTTTTCTTTATTTCTTTTTTCTTTATTTTTTTTTTTTAAATAGAATTGTGTAGCTTCTCTGTGTTTTTTCTTTTTTTTTTTTTTTTTAAATAGAATTGTGTAGCTTCTCTGTGTTTGAGAATGAGTCGAGGAATTATTTACTTTGTACCATCAGTCAGTTTGACTTCTGTAGCTGAACTGAGTGCAGGTTGTTTCCCGCTGAGCCAGAAGGCTGTTCCCATCCTCCCGGTGTTACCTGCCTCCTGAATTGATTACAGCACACACGCAGACCTTTTAACTTGTTGGCGCCAGCAGTGGAGAGCAGTGTGTGCTGGGAGGCCCCAGAGGAGATGTGTGGGGTTAATGTGCAGTACCAAGCATAAGGATTTTTCCACAGCCTTATTTTCACAGTTTCTGATGTCGGGTTAGACAAGATTATCTGACATCTTTTTAGTGGGTTTCTCAGTAGGTCCCTTGCAACTGCATTTCAGCTCACTAGAAGTTAGAACTACTGCCTAAAAGGAAAGGTACTAACTGTCAAAAGGGGAAAGAAAAACAGGTCTTTAAGTCGCAGAAAGCCCTAAAAATGACGGGAACAGGCACAGCCACATTTTAACATCTGCAGAGGAGAGTAAATAGCAAGAGAAATGCTCTGTGGCAGAAGATGTATGCAGCAATGAACAGAATGTTGATAAGCTGCTTTAGCAATGAAGGTAATACTTCACTTCTCTCATCTAACTGGTATGCATGTTTAGCAGCCGTTTTTTCTACTTCAAAAAAGCAATAATAATGGCTTCTCCACATGAAAAGTAGCTGTCCTGCTTCAGCAGAGCTGATTCATGCACAGCAGTGCAAGCTCTGTAATGTGCACACCATTATATCCACGTACATACAGCTTTTCCAGGTACAAAGAGGCAGCAGAACAGACCAGTTTGGAACCAATACATTGGTGATCTCCAGAGCCAGGTGTGATCTGCCCAGTCAGTCTCCTGCAGAGCTCCCTGGCAATGCGCAGCCAGGCTCAGTGAGGTTGCAGGGGTCTGGGGGCTGAGCTGTGGCTGCACCCTGGCCAGCTTCACTGTCCCTACATCGAGCTAGTCCCTTCCTCGGGGAGGCTTTGGGGCTGCCCTCAGCAGAGATAACCACCTATGTAATTAGAAAAAAATTAAAGCTTTCATTTCCATACATTCTCATGTCATGGGGTTTAACTGAGACGAAGGTGCATTTTAAATTCTACAAAGCTTTAAGAGTAAGGAGAAAATGGAGGTGCTGGCTCTAAGTAGCTTTTGCAGTTCAGGCAGCTGCTGTGAATGTGACAAAAGCTCATCTCTAAATCATTGCATAGGAAGAAAAGTGTAAAGGAAGAGCAGGGAGAGAAAAGGCTTTGTGGAATCCTTCCTTTGCTTTAGTAAACCTCCAAAGGTCTCCAGTAAGACATTTCATAATGTTTTTATTATGTGAGAGTCTCCAAGATCTGAAGTTACAGTACATGTTGCTGGCCACATCCCAGCGAATATCAGAAACAGATTTGGGCATCCCCCAGTAGCCCTTCCTGGGTTCCTTGCTTGCATGCAAGGCAGGAGGAGAAATGGTTTATTCCAGCCAGACCTAGAGGAGAAGGCATCCAGGGCACACTGCAGGGTGTTTGCCTCTCCTCTCAGCTGTTTGCCCATTCACCCATGAAGGCAGAGAAGGAATATTTGAGTGAGCTATGAGTTTGGGTTTTAAATGCATTAGGACATCAGTAAATATGTTTTGATTTTGGCCTTTTTAAAATAGAGAAGCCATATGAAGACCCTGGGTTTATTTGAAGATGTGATGCATATATTCACAAATGGTATTTTTCCTTAGATAAAGCCAATACCCAATATTTTAATTTTGTATGGGTCTGTAAATAGCAGATCTAAGAATCTGTTTCAGTTCATTTCCTCTTTTGCCTAAGCCAATTGCCTGTAGTTAAAAATGACTAAATGAAAGGAAAAATTATCTAACATAATTGTCCTTGAGATGTACTGCTATAAAAGCAAGAAGAAATTCTGTACAGTTTCTATTTCTGTACTTATTTCTATTATATTCCCAGTTCCTCTTTGTTTCAGCATGAAGTTTATACAAATTGAAGATGAGTCCTTCCATTGTTACACAAACATTCTGTATGTGTAATAAACATTTGGATTTTTTAATCTCATGCTAGATCAGTTTTTCAGCACATTTGATAAAGGGCATTTTTGTGTTTCTTTTGTTTTGATTTGATTTGGGTTTTTTGTGGTCGACTCAGGTTTCTGAATCATCTGTTCAACAACACAGGTGTCAGGATAACATTCAAGTCTCCTACCACAAGAACCTTCTTTTAGTGTTGTTTGTAATGGTACTTTAATATCAAGTATTTAATGGTGTCACAAGGTCAGTGTCTCAAAATTGGAAGTCTTGGCCTTTTCTTTTCAAGTGGTTAACTTGGGACCATTGTGGGAAACTCAGTAATCTGTGTTCCCCCTGTGTTACCATGGGAGAAATAATGATAGATAAGACACATACTGATTTTTGTTTTTTCCCCTATCTATCTGTCTTGGCTGTCAGTTCTTGTCTGCTCCATAACATCCAGCTACAGAGTGCTTCGAAAACAACAGTTTTTCTTCCTACAAGAAAGATGAATTTGTCATACTTGAGTTGCTCCCTTACATTTGCTCCCAGTGCCAAAACTTGGGCCTGTCCGTGTCCTCAAACCTGGCTTTGTTTTCTCTGTTGTTTCTTTAATTTTTAAATCTGCCTGTTGAAACCTCTGAAGTACCACTATAATTAACCCAGTGTTGACTTTGCCCTTGCTGCAAACCTGCACCATTTTCTCCTCTTGCAGCTGTCCGTGTTACCTGCTCCCTGCATCCATCCTTATTTTCTCAGTCTTCAGAACTCTTCAGATTTCTAAAACTGTTGGATTTCTACTCTGGCAGTGGGTCTACTGCTCTTAGAACTCCTGGCTTAACCTCATTCTTTTTATGTTTTATGTTTATGTTGTTATGTTCTTTTTGTGTTTTTATGTTGTTTCTTCTCACTTCTCATGGAAATTATAGTGCATAACTGTATCACAGAACCATGGAAAAGCCCTGAAGCTCATGGAGTTCAGTGTAAACCCAGCCCTGCTGAGCCCACCCCTGAGCCGTGTCCCCGAGTGCCTCGGCTGCACGTCTGATGCTGAGCAAATGCCCCAGCTGAGGTTTTCTCCAGGGGATCCTGCTGTTCCTGCAGTGCTGGTGTCTGCTGGCATTTGCAAGGTGCCTGCCAAGACAATGCTGCACGTAAAACGTTCAGCCTCCAGCTGGTGCATCTTTGGTATAGGTGTAGAAAGGGTTTTCAGGGCTACAGCTGACAAGCACCACTCAGGTGTTGCAGAAGAGCGTGTTTTCTAAGGTTAAGTGTAAAAAAGCATTTAACAGTCAAAACTCTAATTTAGAAATGAAGTAAAATGTATCAGGCCCTTCAAAAAGGCACTGTGAAAAATTTGAGACAAATCAGAGTTTTTATATTCTTGGCAAATTCAGTGGATGTGTCCAGGTACATTCTTTCTACAGGAGGTACTGACGGTCCAAATGAATCCTTGCTGAAATAGGAATTTTTAGAAGAATTTTAAGTTAAAAGACCTGGAAGAACGAAGGGAATTTTCCCTCTGAAAAGTGAATATGTGCATTACATTGTAAGGTTTCCTTGGTAACAAAAAGAAGATAAATCCTTTTGTTCTGTGTTAGTGTGTTAGGAAGAGATTTCATCTACATTCACCCCAATTTGTGCTAACTGTTCAAACTGAAACTGTCTCCCCTTTTGTACCATGATACCCATCATTAACTATTATTGGGTCACTGCAGGAAAATATGGATGTTGTGAGTGTGGACAGAACAGAAACTTGGAGAGTAGTATCACCAAGGGCTTGAAATAATAGAAAACTATTGCAACAGCAAGAATGTATGACAAAGTCATGCAGCAAGTTGTCAAGTAAATTACACCTGTACTATTATATCAAATCTGATAGACTACAGACTGATGAAAGAGTGCTTGTACGAGTAAAGACAATGTAATGGGCACCAGATAGCACATTTCTTAACCACAGGTATTTTGCTAATTTTTTGTCATGTTTGTTACCATTTTCAGGGTGTAAATTTTTAAATGGCTGTGTAAACATTTTGCTTTCAACTAAATGGATTTGGCAGGGTCAGTAGAGTACTGGCTAGCATAATAGCTGGAACCTACAGGTAATTAGGTGAGTCTTCATGCCTTCCCTGCCATTTACTGAAGCATGAAAACAGGCACACAGCAGCAATAAACAGAAGGCAGGAAAATCGTGATTTGCACAGGTTTCTGATCTCCATGGCTGTACAGAGCAGCTCAGTAAAATTAGGGCAGGCACATAGATTTTCCTATGTCCAAATCCATTGAAATACCTGAGCTATAAGAGCGTACACTGAACTGGAAAATCCGTGCAGCTGATTTCTAAAACTGCCTGGATGCCAGAGGTGAGAATGGAACCATTCGTATTTTCAGAAGTGCCACATCATCTGGGCATTCAACACAGTTGTAAATCTGAGCTCAGAGTTGTATTTTGGGTGGGGAATTTTTTGATTTGGCTTGGTTTAGTTTTTTTAAAACTTATTTTATGCCTGCCTAGAATAGAAACCTGTTGGCAAGGAATACTAGATAACTTGTGTGCCTTGTCTAAATCTACTCTTCACTGTCAGTTGGGGAAAGAAAGTTACTATTTCCCTGCTGTCCTAGGCAATTGTGTTATGGTTTTTATAGACATCACACTCTTAAACAGGTGTTAAGTTTTACTCCAGTGGTGTCTTCATTTTTAGTAACAGATAGCATGCATAACTGTTTAAATCAGCTGTTAGGAGCTGCATGAAACAAATGTGAATTAATTACCTTCAATTTGAATCTTTGGATGTGCTTCCTATTGCTCTTCAACTGATGGTAAGACACATCTATTCTTAAAAAAAAAAAAAAAAGGATGAGGCATAAGAAGTTTTGGTTTTCTCCTCAGCATGTCAAGCCTGGTCAAAAAATTCAAAATAGAATCTTGCGTTGTTAAAGTGGCTTTTTTGGAGTTGGGCAAAAATTATGCACCTTCAGCCTTGTAGAGACTCAACCCTGCTGCTCAGAACAATAGGTTCATAACCTTGATGTGGAGTGATTAGTTTGTTATTCTTCTTAGTTGTGGCATGTTAAACATCACTGCCATTGGCTGGTATTGGCAAAGTCCATTGCAAGAGCCCGCAGGTGCCACCACGCTCAGCTTTCAGAACGAGACACGTGGGGTGGTGGCAGCTGTCACATGTCCCCCTGCAGCTCAGGAGAATGGCCTCACACATCTGAGTTCCCACAGGTCACTGAAAACAGAATGACCTGCCCTCTAAAAGCTAGATGTATTCCTTGAAGTGATGCCTTCAGTTGTTTCTTATTTTTTCAACCATCTTTTTTTCCCAGACTTCAAGCACTGTCTGAAGTTTCCTGATACATTCTTAAATATGCTGACTTCTCCTTTTTTTAAATTTAATTCAAGAGAAAATCTCTTAGAAGTTATCTGTAATTTTTTCAGGGTTTTTTTGAGAGAGGTGGTTTGAAGTCTTTCTCCTAAAACGTGAGATTAAAAATATATTTCTAAGTGTGTAGTACTGCTATGCTGTGCAGGTTGTTTTTGAATTGTAGGTGATAGGCTTTGAAATTGGTTTTAATGGATAGCCATGAACATTGTTCTACCTAAAGGTGCATAATGACAGTGGGATTATATGAGCTCAGGGCACAACACAAAATAAGTTCTGACAATTTTTACCTCACTCCTGAACTTCAGATCGTTGTTATGAATTCTGACAGTGGTATTCCTGAGACAAAACTGTCCTAAACATTGTAGGGTTTGAGCTGTAATCGCAGTAATGCTAATACACATTGCAGTGATTAAATATGTACTAATTAGCACCATGTACTGGGGGATGGATAGAAATAATTGGTTGTCCCTGCATCATTCTCCATCCCCACCATCTCCCCATTCCCCAGGACCTGATTCAGCACTGCCTGACACTTGTGCAAGTGATTGCAAATGCTTTTGACAAATGTTAATTGGGAGAGCACTGGAAGGCTGGATGCATTGTCATCAAAAGGAAAATAGAGCAGTTTCACAAGATGTCAGGCAAGCACTTGCAGAACAGATCTGAGGATTTCAGGAGGAGCTGGCTACACCACGAGTTCAGCACAATTACACAGGCTGTGTTCAAGCAGCCAAGAACAAGACTGAAAAGAAGACAGGCTCTCTGGAGAAGTTTCTCATTTGTGAGCAGGAGAGGGATGAAAAGCACATCTTTGACTTTACTCTTTAAAAACTCCACTCCAAATTCATGTGAAAATAAAAAGATAAATTACTGTGTAAGACCTCTAATATGTTATAACTGAAACATAATTGAAAAAGGGTTTTGAAAAAGGCTTTTTAACTGCCAAACTACTGAAAGTTAATATTATTCAAAACACTAACTTATAAAGTAACTGCTGGAAGAAAGTGAGACAGCTCTTCTTTTGTTTTTATTTCATGATTTAATTTAGAGAAGCTGCATTGTCCAGTAACTCAGAGTTCAAGGGCCTAGCAGAAGAAGAAAAAAAAAAAAGAAAAAAGGCAAAATTATTTTATATGAGCTTATTTATTCTCAGCACAAGGAATCTGTGCTTTCATGTGCCTGTAAAGCATTGTGAACACTAATGAAGATTTGGAAATAATGAGTGGTAACTGGCTGCATATCCTGGGCAGAAGGGATGTGTCCTGATCCAGTCCTGGGCTTTTGTGCAAGATGAAACTAGGTCCTTGCCCCCAGCTTATAGGAGTTGTGTCTTCATACGTGCTTTATCAAAAGAGGGGGTTAAGACCCCAGATGCTCACAGAGGAGAACACCGTGTACGTGCTGTGTTTGGAGCTAACGGGGCGTGCTGCAGCTCTCTGGAGCAGAATGACTGCTGGGTGGGAAGATGTTATCATAATTATGGCCCTGGAAGGTGTGTGCTGGGTGACTTGAAGTTTTGGGGGCTGTTTTTTAAAAATGGTCTCGTTAGTTCCAGCGCACTGCCTGTGCTGTTGAAGCTGGCCTGCATTGTTTACGGCACACTGCTTCAAATGAGTCTGTCTGTCAAGTTGTTCCTGCTGCAGAAGTGATTAAGTCATCTTTAATTGCTTTGAGCGTGTTTGTTGTGTGCTGATAACTTGCTAGGACTGCCTTTCAGCCTTTAGAAATGTAACTATCAATTTTTATTGCGGAAGAGATTATTTGGAGAATGTGCTGAAACGTCACACCAGAATGGGTTGGGGTAAAAAAAAAAGAAGTCAGTCGGTTATATCTTAAGCACCCAGAATAGCAATGAGAGTAATATTAAGATAAAGGAAAGGAGACTCCAGAGAATCCTTTAAAGCTACATAAATAACTTTTAAATAACTTTTTTTTATATATAATTCTAAGTCATTTACTTTATTATTGCTCTAATTTTCCCCGTGCAGTGCCTACCACAGCAGTGACAATAACTTCTTCAGCAGAGCTGTACAAAACCACAGTGTCAACCACTAGCACCACATCCCAGAAGGGTCCCATAAGCACAACGCTAGCTGGAGGAACAAAGGAAGGAAGCAAAGGACCCAGACCACCGCCACCCGTTTCCACAACCAAAATTCCTCCTGTGACAAGTTTTTTCCCTTTGCCAGAGAGATTCTGTGAACCGACTGAGGCCAGGGGGATTAGCTGGCCTCAGACACAACGAGGAATGATGGTGGAACGCCCTTGCCCCAAAGGAACACGAGGTACTGCCTTTAAAAATGTATCTTGATTTCAAGCAGATATTTCAAAAGCGATGGGCAGCTCTCTTGGGATGAACATTTTTTTAATCTCAGGCTGTTTGTCACATGATTTTTTGGTTACTTGGAGAGTGCAGCCTCTACTGGCAGCAGTCAATGGTCAGTCTGCAAACGTCATTTGAGCGTAGCCGCAGAATTACCTTGTGCTTGCACTTTTGAGAATCCAGGTCAAATTTTAGGGCACCGCTTGAGGACTGTTGTGAAATACGCTTACAGCTGCCTTTCTCATTATTAACTCCCCTCTGGATGAACTCCAGGAAAAATCAAGGGCTTTTTGTTTGTTTGCAGAAAACGTCTGGTACTTTTCACTGACTTTTTTCGTTGCTCTTTGTAATCGACGTTATTTCCTTTCGTTTTTGTCAATTATTGTCAACTACTACCATTAGCAGCATTCAGAATTTAGCATTGTTTAGGAGCACAGTGTAGCCAGTTTCCTGAATGCGTGCAGAAAAATGGTTTCCCTTTCACTGTAGTTTTCTACATCTGTTGTAGGAACTGCCTCGTATCTCTGCGTGGTCTTAACGGGAATGTGGAACCCCAAAGGCCCTGATCTTAGCAACTGTACCTCACACTGGGTAAATCAGCTGGCTCAGAAGGTTGGTTGAAACCTTTTAATCTGGTGTACGCTGGTGATTAAAGATTTTAACTCTGAGCATTAATAATTCAGTTTGTTGAAGCTGTGTTTGTTACTCTGTGTTCTTTTAAAGCAGAAGGGGTTGTGTGTGCTCCAAGTGCAGAGCACTGGCCAGCAGTTGGGTTCATGTGCATGTTTTGGTGTGCCCTCCCTCTGAGTTCTGTAATTGAATCTGTGATTACACGTTCTCATCACTATTGAAAACAAAGTAGCTTTGCTGATGTTCAAAAACCAAACGCAATATTTGCTTGATAAATCAAATACTGTAAGTCAAACAGCAAAACCTGTGGTATGCAGCAAGGGGTTTTGTTCAGTCAAAATTACACTGTAATGAATAGATTTTTGTCTGAGTGCATTGATAACAGTATGATTAGAGTGCAGAACCACTTTCTGTGTTTTCCCTCCCTACTGAGATTTACAAAGTTTCTGAAAACTGAATAATTTGTTGTCAGTGCCAAGCTACTTGACTTTTGAATGCCTCAAGCACGGGTATGAACAAATAGATTTCTTACTGTCTGATAATGGCAGTAAAATAAAAGTGAGGATGAATAGCAGATCTAGCCCAGAAGTCCCAGTCAGATTTCTGGTTTTGATGGCTGTTAAGAACTGCTTTTGTGTGTCATGGATCTAAGAACCTTTAATCTTCTGAGATAAAGAGAACGTTATTGGTCTCAATTAGTTACAGATTTCAATGTATGTGCAAATGGTTATTTCACCACAACAAAGGTACACAGGGAATTGGAATTAGGAGCCTCAAGCAGAACAAGGGACCCTGCTGAGATAATATAAATTGTCATTTCAGATCAGAAGTGGGGAAAATGCTGCTAGTCTGGCCAATGAACTGGCTAAACACACCAAAGGCCCAGTGTTTGCTGGCGATGTGAGTTCCTCAGTGAGGCTGATGGAACAGCTCGTGGACATTTTGGATGCTCAACTTCAGGAACTACGGCCCAGTGAAAAGGACTCTGCTGGAAGGAGTTATAACAAGGTACACACCTCCCATCACCTCCTCATGCTGGGATAACCATTGCCCTTGGGCTTTGTATTCTTTTCCTTTCAGAAATATTAATCTGTACTTTGTTCCTGCGTGCGCGTAGTTCTGGAATAAGCATATGAGGGAAAACAGCAGTAAATACACGGCAGAAAGTTGCAATTACCTTCTTTAGGGAATAAGATATAATTCACAATAGCTGACTGGTCCTAAAATACATAGCTGTGTCCCGTATTAAAATCTGGAATGCATTATAACTAGTGTGAGGGAAATGAGTATCAGCTCTCAGAAATTCTGTAACAAGTCAGCGTGTTTATCCAGTGATCCCTTTAACCCTGAACATGTAATAAAATCAGTGGGATTCTGCATAGATGCAGGGTTTTATTTTGATCTGACTTTCTGCAGAATAATAGCACCTTCTTCGCCTTTTAAAGACACCAACATGACTTAAAATCTTTATAAAAATGCCTTAATACGCATATCTAAAACATATCTAAATTCATGTTTTCTCTGGCGTGATGTTCCAAGAAACATTGCAGAGAAAATGTATGTCTTTGTGGTTTAAATGGAAATTGCAAGTGTTGTTACCTTTCCTCTTTTTCTCAGAGGAAATGCTGTGTTTCTCAGCCTCTGCCTTGTGTCAGCCGAGTCAGCAACCCACAAACGAAGTTTTTTTTCATCCTCCTTTAGAGAGAGATGCACTCCCCTGTTATTTTGGCAATAGTTTTATTTACAGTCCCTAGCTGCCCTCAAAATAGTTTTCCCAGAGACAGATCAAGTGCCCACACAGGGATTTCCTCCTTTGGCCTTTTCATACAAATCCCACTCTTTGGACAAAAGGTATCTGGACACCCGTGTAAGGGTTGCAGTGCTGGTTCTGGCTAGGATGGAGTTAATGTTCTTCACAGTGGCTACTATGGGGCTATGCCTTGGGTTTGTGGTGAACACCTGCTGATAATGCAGAGATGTTTTGGTTTTGCTGGGCAGCCCTTGCACAGCCCTGTTCTCACACTGCCATGCTGGCAGGGAAGTTGGGGGTGTGTGGGAAACTGGGAGGGGACACCCCAGGGCAGCTGAGCCCAGCTCACCAAAGGGATGTTCCATACCCTGTGGCATCCTGCTCCGTGTGTAAAGCTGCTGGGGATTAGGAGGAAGAGGGGGACATCAGGAGTTATGGTGTTTGTCTTCCCCCATAACAGTTGTGATGGAGCCCAGCTTTCCTGGGCTGGCTGAACACCTGCCTGCCCCTGGGAAGCAGATTTGGTTTGCTCTGTTTGCATGCCTGGCTTTTGTTTTACCTGTTGAACTGCCTTTATCTCAACTCGTGAGTTTTCTCACTCCTACCCTTGTGATTCTTCCCCCCATGGTGCTGGTGAGGGAAGGAGCGAGGACTGTGTGGGACTTGCCAGCTGGGCTTAAACCACAGTTGGGGAAAAATGTTTCCTGTGTGATGTTTTTTTTGTAGTCATTGTGGACAGAAACTAGATTACTGTCCAGGCTGTAGTTCAAAACCAGGATTTGAAAAAACAGAGTATTTTTTTTTCCTATTTCTGAAGCTTTCCAGAATCTGTCTAACTTCTGATTTTTTTTTTCCTTACTAAAAAGCTCCAAAAACGAGAGAAGACATGCAGGGCTTACCTTAAGGTATCTCTCCTGTGCTGTCACCCTGCTTTCTCCCTGCTTCAGCAACCTGCCACGCTTTATCATCTTGCTGCATGATCCTATGTATTTCAGTCTTTGATAAATGTGTATTGTGCCCCATATCAACTTTACAAATGTTGGCTTTGCACAGGTATAACACTCAGAAAAAAAAATTTACCATCAAAGTTTATACGTCTTTTACCTCAACTTGTTTGAAACAAAAAGAGCAGAAAGGGTTATTTTCTGAATTGGAAATAACATCTATCTCATAATAAAACCTTGGGTAGGGGAAAAAGCTGGCAATTTAAAGAAATTACTTCATCTTGGTAGAATTTTATATCAAAGACTGTTTAAAGTTAATTTCCTTGTGTGAAAAATGTACTTTATATAGCTTGCTTTGTTCTTTGTGTATCCTTATACCTAGTAAAATCACTCTTTCTTACAGTTTTAAGAATTGTTACAATTCAATGACTTCAGGATAAAATGCAAAGACAAACATTTCTGTAACTTCACAAGTAAAATGTCTGCCATGTGTCCCATTAACCAGGCTCTATGGAAGGCATGTCACACATTGCTCCCTAATTTCCAGTTCCTTTCATCAGCTGTAGAATGGTTGTCTGTACTGGCCAACTCCTTCTCTGCTGTACAGTGCCAGTAATGCCACTTCACCCCTGTGAAGGAGAGAAAACAGCCCTGGAACACATACATGTGTCTGGCTCTGAAAAATTTTATTGCACATTTTTTCAAAACTTCTAAAATACTGATTTTTACTTGTACCCTTTGAGATGAAATGTAAGAATGATTTTTGAAAAGAACTTTGAAATACTTTGCAACATAATAAAATTAATTAAGATTCTTATTGAAGAGAGATTTCTCTGTACAGGGCACTTCTGTCTTTTATCCTAAAGCCCTGGAAGTGGATGGGAGATGTCCAGTTGTGCAGGAATTTGACAAAAAGAGGCAAAGATCTGGAGAGAAAATAGCTTCTCAAATAATAATAATAATTGTAATAGTTTTTTATTAGAAAATATTTTTTAATACTAAAGGGAAATGCAGCAGATATGGTTTGAGTGGAGTGGGTTTGTGTGGTTCCTTTTCATTAGTAAATGGGATCGTGAGAAGAGCTGTGTCACAGGGGCCAGGGGGTCTTTCCCACCATCCACTTGCCTCTGAGAGGAGAAGCACCTCAGAAATATTACTGGGCAGGTGATCATTTTCCACAAGAAAAATGCAGGGTTAGATTACGCCCTAATAAATAAAATAGTGTCACATTAACGAATGCCCCCCGTCAGCACAGTGTGGTGATACATGAGAATCCCCAGCACAACCTGCATTTCCAACCGGTGTCATTTTCTGTAGGTCTCAAATGGGCTTCTCTGCTTAGATAAGACTAATAAACCTCTTGAAATTACAAATCAAAAGCTGACTTACACTATGCAAATGAAGCAAGTTCCCACTTTGTGACAGAGGATTCATTTGTACCTCAGATTAGAGGCTCCAATCTGTATTTCTTGGTGACTAATGAATCTGGCCTCTGCAGACCAATTTCTGTTCCACTCTAGTTAATGGCTGCAGCAGGATCAGTGTGAGCATTTTGACTATTCTGTCTCCCATTAGAGAAAGAAAAAAGGCTTTAATGCCACTTCGAAGTATCTTCCACCTGCCAGGAAGGTCATGGTGGCTCACAGTGCAGACAGAAAGAGGATATTAAAATGGATTAGGCTAATTAATCTTGCTCTGACAATAGCCTTGACCAACTTTTTGTATTCGTTTGTTTGCACGATGTGGTATTTCCAGACCGACATCTTTCTGTTTGTACAATGTCTTCTGTTTCCATTTCCAGTGCTTTTAAATTGATCAAACAAATTATATATATGCTTAATGACACATTATGAGTAGGTAAATGGGACAGAGTAAACAGGGTGTTCCAGCAATGCATGGTGTACTCAATGCACAGCTACATTATGCATTAATGTAAAAGCCTGCCTTCAATTGATTAACTGATTACTCTGATTGGATTATTTTGTAAAAATAATGTAATCATGTCACTGAATTATTCTTCTTCCTTCTTTATTGTTACTTTATATGCCGCTTAACGAACCTTAAAACATGATAGAGTTGTTACAAGTAAAACTTTTTAAAGTGGCAGGTTTTTTCAGCTTTCCAGTTTTGCCTTCCCCGATAACAGGCACGGTCAGTGGACATCTTGTTTGCTCTATTGATTTCCTTTTCTGACTGACCTTTGTGCAGGAATGGGAGCTGGTAATCTTTTTAAATATCTATGAACAGGTACAGGAACAGGAGGGGGAGTGAGAGTGGCCAGGGCTAATTTATATCCACTGAGTCAGCTTCATTGCATGCCTCCTGTAATAAAGGAGACAGTTTGTCATAGACAAGTAGTTTATAGTGCTGGGGCTGCATTAGCTGGCCTCAGTTTCCAGAGGAGGAGTATTGTCATTTTAGCTAAACTGCAGAATGCTAATTTTGGCATTAGTATTTTAAAATAGAAGTTATACGTTTTGACATTAACTTTAAGATGAAAGCTCCAGGCAAAACTTCTGGCATTTATTTTTACATTTTTCAGCACATTAATAATACCATCTTTATATCTGGCACAAAACAAGTCAAATCTGCATGTTTACCACTTAGAGACCACACAATGCTAGTGGCTAACTGCACTTCTATTCATGCTAATCCAACGAGAGGATGGAAAATATTTTACTGTTGAAAATTGTGTTCTAGTGCCATTAAATCACAGTAAATCATTCTGACAGTTAAGTATTATAATTGTCACCAGATAACATTGGAAATATTCCCCAGCTGCCTAGGGCAATCAGACCTAATGATAGTTTTGTAATGAATGCAGGCAATTGTGGATACAGTGGACAACCTGCTCAGGCCTGAAGCTCTGGAGTCCTGGAAGGACATGAATTCTTCAGAGCAAGCCCATGCAGCCACAATGTTACTTGATACATTAGAAGAAGGGGCTTTTGTTTTGGCTGATAATCTTCTAGAACCAACCAGAGTCTCAATGCCCACAGAAAACATCGGTAAGTAAACTTCTTTTCCAGCAGAAATTCAAGTGCTCTGCGTTGCTTTACAAACTGAGGAAAAAATACTCCAGACAGCAACATAACCCTCTGAAGCTGAGCTGCACAACATTTAGTGGAAAAGGGAATGCTCCACAGTGACATTCTTCTTCAGTGTCATTAATACAGTATAAAATGGAAAGTAGTTGATGTTGCAAAGTTGATTTACCACTGAAAAATCATTAGCAGAACGCATGGATGTGAAGAGTGCTTAAATGGCAGAGTATGGATTTTTTGAGGTAACTGCTTTCTGTAGAACTGCAGAAAATACTTTTCTGTTATATATAAAATGTTCCTAATGAATTTAAATTACTTTTTTTGCAACGTACTGTGCCAGTTAAATATTTTAGGTAGTCAGAACATAGGCCAAATG